TTACAACATAAAAAAAAATGTAACAAAACTGATATCAAAAGATGTAAAAGATATAAAACAAGATGTAAAAGATATAAAACAAGATGTAAAAGATTTAGATACTGTATAAAACAAGATGTAAAAGATATAAAACAAGATGTAAAAGATATAAAACAAGATGTAAAAGATATAAAACAAGATATAAAAGATATAAAACAAGATATGAAAGATATAAAACAAGATGTAAAAGATATAAAACAAGATATAAAAGATATAAAACAAGATATAAAAGATATGAAACAAAACACTCTGAATGCTGAGATTATAAAAGTCTCTGTTTGGTTCGGTTCTCCAGGATCTGGTGACAGACATTATTTACAGGCTGCAGAAGAAAAAAAAAAGGCAGCCGTCCAGAATCCAAAGACGTTCGATTATTAGCCCCAGTTGCAGCTGAAGGTTCTTTTTATACAAATGAAGATGAAAAGATAAAAATAAATATGTGGAATCTTTCACGAGGACACCTCTGCCACGGTTGTAAGTGTGGAAACGTGAGCAGAGATCAACGCTGCGTCTGAGTCCGGCCTGCAGCTCAGAGCTCACAGGTCGAGTGCAAAGAAGAAAACATTTAATCTCTGTGAGTTTTGTCTTCCTGACTGCAGATCCTGCAACAAACGGCTGCGCAGATGATCTCAAATCCTCCCGACCCGGCAGAGGAGTGACAAGACCGAGGACTCGCAGATCCAGGATTACTCATCGGAGTGGAATGCTTCTTGTTTCATTTGGATGCTTGAAGCATCGCTGGCCTCTTCAGACGGGAGCTGAGCTTTCTTACTGTCATTCTGCAAGATTTGGTCAATCAGCTTCCACTTATACATCAGCAATTTGTGTTTTTCTGCACAAATTTATATATTTCAAATATTGTTTTTGTGTAATGCAATCCATTCTTTTTGTTTTTGTGTATAAAACATAAAAATAATCATATAACATGAACATTTTGTGCAAATGAGCTAAGAAACGGATTACACCCACTCATGTATAACTTATTTTAACGCTTTAATAAACCCTCATGCCAAACATTTTAAATAAATGACCTAAACTCAACGTTGAGCATGAAAAAAGTTAAAGGTCATAAGTGCTGTAAGGATTTTAAAATGACAGCATTTTTTGTTATTTCCTGTTCAGAACGAGCAAAAAAAAAGCTTAAAAGTTTGGTGTTAAAGAACTCGAAATAGCTGAATATAGCAGAAAGCAACAGTTAGAAGCAGAAATAGCTCAAACGGGCAGAAAGAAGCAAATAAAAGTAGAAAACAGCAGAAAAAGTTTAAATTAGCAACAAAAAAGTAGCTAAAATTAGCATAAAAACTAGCTAAAGGTAGCAGACAAGTTGAAATTAGCACCCAGATGGTGAGAGGGGTGGAAAATGTTAAATTAGAAGGAAAAAAAAGAACAAAATCACAAAAATGACAATTTGTTGTAAAATCGCTAAAAACAGCCAAAATATGCAGTAAAACAGCTATAATGTAGCTGTATTTTTTTCTTTAGCATAACAAAGCAAAAAGAGCACAAGTTTGCTAAACTAAGAACACAACTAAAGAGCCACCAAGATGTAAATTTGGCTTAAAAAATAACTTTAGCTAATAATAGTTGAAGATTAGCTAAAGTTTCAGCAAATAGCTGAATATAGCAGAAAGCAACTGTCAGAAGCAGAAATAGCTCAAACTGGCAGAAAGAAGCAAATAAAAGTAGAAAACAGCAGAAGAATAGCAAAAACGGTTAAAATTAGCAACAAAAAAGTAGCTAAAATTAGCATAAAATCTAGCTAAAGGTAGCAGACAAGTTGAAATTAGCACCCAGATGGTGAGAGGGGTGGAAAATGTCAAATTAGAAGGAAAAAAGAATAAAATCACAAAAATGACAATTTGTTGTAAAAATCGCTCAAAACAGCCAAAATATGCAGTAAAACAGCTATAATGTAGCTGTAATTTTTTTAATTAGCATAACAAAGCAAAAAGAGCACAAGTTTGCTAAACTAAGAACACAACTAAAGAGCCACCAAAATGTAAATTTGGCTTAAAAAATAACTTTAGCTGAAAATAGCTGAAGATTAGCTAAACTTTCAGCGAATAGCTGAATACAGCAGAAAGCAACAGTCAGAAGCAGAAATAGCTCAAACTGGCAGAAAGAAGCAAATAAAAGTAGAAAATAGCAGAAAAAGCTAAAATTTATTAAAGCATAAAAAAATTCTTGTGCTGTGAAGGATTTAAAGGCAGAGTTTTGAGCACAAATCATGGTTGTTTTGTTTGCATCATGCAGCAGAAACAAGCCCCGCCCACTGGCAGCAGGTCTGTAAAGTTCGGCCTCGCTGGCAGACAGACCAGCTGGGGTCAGAGTCCTCTGCAGGACCGCGGCCTCGGACTCTCCGGGTCCAGAAACAGAAACCATCAGTAAATATCTGGCAGAGGACGAGGAGCTGGTCACAGGATCACAGGAGTTACGCTGAGCTTTAGTTTCTGGTGTAAAGTGAAGGAATTAACGGGACGAAGCTGCTCCTGGAGCGTTTTAACGCTCGACACAATAAAAGCAGGAGGAAAGAGACGTGTTGGGACGGTTTGTGAGTCTGTCCCTGTGTGTAATCTACAGCAGAGTGGGCGAGGCACTTCCTTCCCTCTGCAGAATGAGAACACATCATTTCCACGCAGCTCATCCTGACGCTGCTTCAACTCGTCTCACATTTTAAAACTAATCCCTGTTTGGAGTTAAAACTCGTAACACAAAAACAAAGAAACAGAAAAAAGACAAACTTACAGAGTTGACAATTCCTTTGAGAGCGTGGAAGCCATCTTTGACAGGAAACACGTTGTTTTTGGAGTCGGCGATCTCAGCGAGCTGTGAGGAAGAGAGGAGTAAACGAGGAGCGCTGCTGATTGAACAGTTTTCTCCTCTTTCTGACGGAGTTGTGTGTCTTTGCTCCGCTGTGATGGGCAGGAGGAGCCGCAGCAGATGGCACGACTGTGGCCAACACTTTGTTCAACGATAAAAACCACCGTAGCACAAACTGCTTTGTTTCTGACTCGATGAGTGTCGATGGACGGGGGCGGGGGGGTGACCAGGAACAGACCACCAGGGTTCCCACATGAGAACGATGAAATGCACGTCACCCACCAGCTCACAAACTGAACTTTTAAAGACAATTTGATGCCATTTGTTGATTTGACTGCATCAAATCTGACTTCCTCGTCTGCAAAAACAACTAAATGACATCATCTCTGTGAGAACTGAGGCTGCTGAGCTGCTGCGGCCATCTTTCCTTGGGTCCAACAGTTACTGCCAGTGTTTTATTAAAACCCATCCACAAGTTATTAAAGGAACAATATCATGTAAAATCAACTTTTTTTAGTTTTATGTCATGTTATAATGTTATACTCTCATAAAAACATGCCCAAAGCCTTGCTTTGACTCATTCATCATGTTTGAGAAATCCTGCAGCGTTTTTATGAAGCCATGCTGAGGAGCAAAACAACAGGTGGGGACCAGGAACGCCCCTGGGACGTGTCTTTAAGCCGAACTTCCTCATGGCGGATGAAAGTGAAAGTGAAACCTAACTGTCTGAGCTCTCAACATTAGTTCTCACTCAGTGAAGCTCTTTTCAGATTAAAAATACCTTTGAGGAAATGTATTTTCAGATGCCAAGTAAACTGCATCATGGCCGCCCCCCATACCGAAATGGACGGGACAGAAGCGGAAGGTGGTTCTTAAAGAGACAGAGGCCAATTTCAAGGCGTTTAGAAGAGGAAGTGATTAGAAGATAAGTTTATTTTCTATTTAAACATAATAACAGCC